AACATTTTCATTTAAGGTTTGTCAATCAAGTTAAGCATGAAACATTCATTTTTAGTGTGTACATGATATATGTTTTGTGTGTACATTGTACATCTTTTGTTTGTACATGGTACATCTTTTGTATGAACATGATACATCTTGTGTGTGTACATGGTACATCTTGTGTGTGTACATGGTACATTTTTTGTGTGTACATGGTACATCTTTTGTGTGTACATGGTACATCTTGTATGTACATGGTACATTTTTTGAAAATGATTCAACAATTTGTTTCTCGGAAAAAACTTGTATCAGCATATTTCTAAAACATTTTGTTTAACAAATTTTTGTTTTCCAATTTCAATAGCATAAAAAACTGCAGGTTTAATTGGGGTATACAAAATATGGCTATCCTTGAATTCTCTCCTCTCTCAATAAAACCATTGCTTACGCGGTGAGTCTGTTTGACTGTGTGGGATGTATAATAAATACACAGCCATGTCCGGTCGGAATGGGGTCGTTATATTTGATATCTTGTGTTGGGCGAGTGGCACGCTCTTTGCACATTACGAACCCCTTTCAACAACTCTGAAAGGTCCATAGGTGGCCTGTTACTGAGTTAAATATCTTTCCCTTTCCAAAATGATCTCATTTCCAGATATTGGCTTATCTTATAGAAGGGATACGACTCAATTGTGCATTATAGTTATAGAAACGCTACACGACCTTTTTCTATATTTGTTTTGCGTTCACTTCATTTGATTGAGGCTACTGTGTCATAGCTTTTGATTATAATTGTAATGTCAGTTTTATAGAAGCAGATCAAGAGTAGCTAACCTGTACGTAAAATATCGGAATTTTATATTTGCTTAGACTTTCCGTTCATGGGTGTGGGTTTTTTTTTTTTTTTTTTTGTACATTTGCAGCATTGGGTATATATTAGACATTATCAACTATGTACATACAAGGCAATGCTACGCTCATCATAACATTTTGTTATATCATTCTCTCATTTTTCTTTCTTGATCTTCTGCTATTTGTTTTATTGTTTTATTTAAATAACACCTCCATAAAAAATATTCTATTCGTTTAATTGTTTTTATAAACGTTATTTTTTAAACGGTGATTTTCATGCTCACTTACTTATTACATATTGATATATACCGTGCCATAATATTTTTTTTTTTCATTTATAAAAATATGTTTATTTCCTTGCACAAATCAAGAGCAAATCCATTAAATTTACTACGTTCATGCAACATGTTCAGACCATTGCTCATTTTCATTACACGTACAGCTATACACAAATAAGGGACTTAAAAGTTCATCTTCGCACGTACTGTAACACATCTTATTTTCGGTGACATTTTTTTCGTTAAGCCCTTATAGTGGAGCGGCGGAGAGGACAATTTCAGAAATTTAAATTACTATACATACCTCCTGGCATTAAAATAAATAGCTCATTTGAAAGCTTAGATCGTATTCTGTTTGAATATATGTGTCGTAAATAGGAAAGCTGATCACATCATGCCTTAAATCAAGGTCAAAGGTCATCACCTAAAAACATTTTATTTTAATCTAGGGAAAAAAACTGCATTTTTTTTCAAAATCTATATTTCATTCAGTAAATTATACAAATAGCATTATTTATTAATGCTATAGTTCCGATTTAGGTATGTTTCATATTTGCACATGACGTCAGAATAACGTATTATTTAACTTTTTCTGCTAGACTATGCAGATGTCATCTACGATAACTGCTCTATAGCGCTGATTCTGCAAATATTGAACATGTACAGAGACGTGCCTGCATTATATCTACTGGGGCAATCTGGGTCACAAAACATGTCACTTTATTAAAAGAGGTTGGCCTTGAGCTTCTTAAAACACGCCGTAAAGTTCATAGACTTAGATACCTGTACAAAGTTAAGAATCATCTTGTCCCAGATTATCTATGTAATTTTCATCCATTATTAGATCATTACACCGAAAACTATAATTTAAGACGACATGCCAACTTGATACCTATCAGGTCAAGAACAGTAGCATACAATAATTCTTCTTTTCTAGCTACGATTAGAGACTGGAATAGCTTGTCAGCTGAACTAGTTTCAGCAACATCTTTGGCGAGTTTCAAAAGGTTGTTAAAGAAGATTTTCTGGATAGCTCAATAACTTATTTGTACTATATTTTTCCTTGTAATAAAAACATATTAGTTATGAAACACATACATACACTTATATTATTATTTTTTCTTTCTTTCATTTGACCTGATTGTACTCAAAATCGTCTATCCATAATTATTATCCTATATTACTGAATCCAACATGTTTGTAAAGCCGTGTGCATGCGAGTAATAAAATTGAGAATGGAAATGGGGAATGTGTCAAAGAGACAACAACCCGACCATAGAGCAGACAACAGCTGAAGGCCACCAATGGGTCTTCAATGCAGCGAGAAACTCCCGCACCCGGAGGCGTCCTTCAGCTGGCCCCTAAACAAATATGTATACTAGTTCAGTGATAATAGACGTCATACTAAACTCCAAATTATACACAGGAAACTAAAATTAAAAATGATACAAGACTAACAAAGGCCAGAGGCTCCTGACTTGGGACAGGCGCAAAAATGCGGCGGTGTTAAACATGTTTTTTGAGATCTCAACCCTCCCCCTATACCTCTAGCCAATGTAGAAAAAACAAACGCACAACAGTACGCACAGTAAAACTCAGTATAAGAGAAGTCCGAGTCCGATGTCAGAATGGGAAACAAAAGAAAATAAACAAAATAACAATAATACATTAATAACAACAGACTACAGCCAGGGGAATTGATAATTTCAAAATTAAAATCGTCTCGTATGTCATACATTCTGGTCCTGAGATGACTGTGTATGTCAAATTCGAGGTATAAGTCTAAAAATGAGGCGGAGGAAGCCGTGACTGTTGTTTCTTTTGTTTCTAGTTCTGGGGGATATATAAATGGAACCCAATCAGAAAAGTTCGGATTGTTAATGGAAAAAACATCATCAATATATCTGAATGTGAAATTAAATAACCTGGCTTCTTTGATCTCCTTGTTTTTGACAAGTGTCTGAAGGAACTCCGATTCATATGAAAATAAGAAGAGGTCGGCAAGGAGAGGCGCAAAGTTCGTTTCCATAGGAATGACGACAATTTGTTGAAAAGTTCTACCTCCAAATTCAACGAATAGGTTGTCAATAAGAATATCCAGCATACTGATCACTTGTTCCTCTGTGTAGCATATTTTACCCTTTTGTTTACTATTAACAAAATATGCCGTATGGTATCCCAAAGTAATAAATTTATAGCGTATGCTACCATTTGCTAAATTGCAAAGCTTAATAAATAACTGCAACAGAATGACCTTGATCTTCGACCTCGATAAATAGCATTTTTGGACAAGATATACATACTGTTGAAAATAATATATATTAATATAGTATCCAAAATACATTGTCGATAAAATCCAACAACATTTGCAGGTTAGATTTCGTCACAGTTTTCCAGGATTCGACAGGTCACGTAGTTTTCTTGAAAACATTTCCCTTTGTTAGTCTCAATACACGATGAGTTTTCAGATGATACAAGAAGCATGAATTATTGAAGTGACAACTACGATTAATTTTCATTCGACGGTACTGTAGTGAATGCAAGCGGGTTTTTATGGCGAATTCAAAGAGGTAGACATGACCGTTTTCAAATACAAAACGAAACGTCGAAAAAACTATAGAAAGTTAAAATGCACGTACAACATGAATGAGGAACATCCCAATTTAGTTAGAAAATATTTCCAATAAATAATGTTCATCTGTGTTATCACCTATGTCGGCTGATACAGAATGGAAATTATTACAAATACCTACATTTTGACAAAACACAAATTCGTGCAAGAAAGATTGATTGATTGTTGGTTGCTTAACGTGCAGTGGCAAATATTTCATGCATGTTCAGAAAGAGAACACATTAACAATAGATACAATAGGTAGGTCCTGTAACAGAGGACGTCAGGGACGAAGGGCGGGGAATTTGGACTTCCACTGGAATATGACTCTTTTTACTAAAAATCTTAAGACTAAAACCGATCTTTATCTACACTGAAATGTTCATGACTTACGAGTATTTTTTTTTTTCTCGTAATATTGACAATGATTGTCACGTTCACGGTAAAATTCAACAAACACGACTAAACAATAATACCTAATAACATAAATAAATCGTAAAGCTTCAGAATTTATAAAGTAAACAGGAAATACGCGTGATAATAACTACAAATGACCATCACAAAATTGCCTAATTTGGGCTGAAAACTAGAAACCAGAACAATGTCGGTTCATGTGCGACAAATATCTGGAATTGAAATTCTCAAAAATGCTGATGTTTAACCAATTATATCGGTTATTACTTATTTTCTTCAAAAAGTAAATCGAGTAGATTGAAGTATTATACGACGGCTTCATGGTCGTACCTTTAAAATACACGTACACAGTTATTGCACGTTCAAACAATGCTAGGTGAAAAAACAGCGATTGTTTTGTGTGTTTTATTCCACAATTTCCAAATGCTCTGTGCTTTAAATATGGCACTCAATAAAAATGACTTTATAACGTATGAAGGTAGAGAGTAACCTTATTAACCAATTTAGTCCACAAATCATGTTTAGAAAAGGCTTAATTATGAGAAAGTCTACCAAAACAGTAGTGGGGTCTTCGGTGACAGTTGGGTAACGTCAGGTAAGGTCGTTTTAAACATCATTGTGACCACATTTGATATTTACGACAAATATTTTTTTGAGGTTCAATAATCGATACACATTTTAAGACATTAATATTCCATGAGGTATTTAGGTAATTTAAACTCGTTAACTAAGCGTCTTTTTCAACATTTGCCGCTCCACTATAATCATTCAACTGTTTGGCGATTTATATTGTCGACTTTCTAACGTTGATGATTTATTCAATAAAGAAAAGGTAAAAGTTTAATATATGTGCACCAGTTTTTATATGCGTTATTATTTTACAATCTAGAACATGTAGAATTGGCATTGTTTAAATTAATATAAACGAGTATCTCCCGGCAGTATTCAATACCGCGGGTAACCAGTATTCTCTTAACATGGTAAAAGTTTTTTGAAAATTTTCGACCGAAAATTTATTTTAAAAAGTATGTGATATGGCTCACATTCAGACAATATTGTGTTAATTCAAATTCTGTATTTACTATTAGATAAATGTTTGGTAAGCATCAGAGGAGAAAAAAATGTCTTCTTCTTCATCGTGGTGGTTGTCTAGCACTCGAATCTATAAAAACAAAAAAATATATAATAAAACTATCGAATATATTCACATTAACTAGAAAAAAAAAGGTTGCTACGCTACTTTTCGGAATTTTGGGTCCTCAATGTTCTTTAACTTCGTACTTTTTTTGGCCTTCTAAACTTTTAATTTTAAGTGTTACTGGTGAGTACATTGTAGAGGAAATGCATGCGCGTACACAATTATAAGTCTTGAATTTTTTTTACGCACATAAAAACTAGTATCTTTATTTGTAGACTTTATGTATCAGACTTGATTCCTTTCAAATGTGGCACAAATGATGAAAGTCGTCAGAATCTAATGCATTCTGGGTAACATTTTAAAAGGCTATAAAACGTTGTGGTTGGCTGACATTGTTCTTAACAATGGAAATTCAAACAATGATGTGACGCTTTTTTCGTTATGGAGTACGAACAATGCAATTTCCCATAGTCCTTTAGTTTCTGAAACTACGAATAGTTAAAATAACATGTATGCACATAATTGTATTGTTCATTTATTTTAACTATTAGGAATGAATATTTATTATGTGCAAAACTGCGATAATAATTTGAATAATTTGACATTTTCTGAAGTCATAACATTTAACAAATGACATCTAATGTACGTATAACTAAACGAAAATGCACAAAACTAATAAAAAGTCGGCAATCATATTTTCTTATTTGATACTCTGACTTTTCGAGGAATACTGGAGGAAGTATGCGTCGGCATCCTTTATAATAACAGAACAATAAATTTCCCTAAAATGATTAAAACTATAATTATCATAATCTTACCTACTGTTATGCAAAATCCACAATACAGTGGACAAGTGGTTTCTGTAAAGGGCCTGTGTAATGGGTCTGAGCAAAATTCATGTATTGCTTCGTCATACTCATTACAGTTTGTTACTTGGTCTACGCAATGTGGTGGTGTTGTATTGACTGAAATATAAATCAAATCATTATTATAATACATTTGGATATTTTGCTAAAATGGTTACCCTTATCTTTATTTTTTATTATATTACTTGGTCCTTTAACAACATGTATTTTTTTCTATCTTAAGATTTTATTTTTTTGAGAAATAACAGTTGATTTGACATAAGACAGACGAAAAGATAACAAAAAAACACAAGTGCAGTCAAGACAGACAATAATAAAAAGGAACCCGAATAAAATCATATTCGTTGTTACTAAAAGCAAGATCAAAGTATATAATACTTTGTTCAATCATGCCGTCTTATACTCTAATATCAACATCTTTATTAAGAAACTATATTTTTAAATGCTCACAAAAATTTGCGCAGAATCTCGACACAGAAAAAGAAACAGAAACATGCGAGTCTTGTTTCAAACTTTAAATTGATAAATGTAATACAATAATATTAAAACAGCAGTGTACCTTCTAATAAAATCGCTAAGGAGTTTGTTTTGTTGACAGTCAACCAAATTTGTTGCTCGTGTTTTGTCGGGTTTTTTTTCTTTGTTTTGTTGTAATACGCCCAACAAATATAAAAATGGAGTACGAACAATGCAATTACCCATAGTCCTTTAGTTTTTGAAACTACGAATCATTAAAAAAACATGTTTGCACATAATTGGATTGTTCATTTATTTTAACCATTAGGAATGAATATTTATTATGTGCAAAAATACGATAATAATTTGAATAATTTGACATTTTCTGAAGTCATAACATTTAACAAATGGCATCTAATGTATAACTAAACGAAAATACACAAAACTAATAAAAAGTCGGCAATCATATTTTCTTATTTGATACTCTGACTTTTCGAGGAATACTGGAGGAAGTACGCGTCGGCATCGTTTATAATAACAGAACAATTAGTTTCCCTAAAATGAGTAGAACTATAATTATTATATTCTTACTTGGTGGTTTGCAAAGTCCACAAAACAGTTCGCAGTTATCCTCCCTAAAAAGCCTGTATAATGGGTTTGTGCAAAGATCTGCGTCATACTCATCACAGTTTGATATTTTGTCTACACATGGTGGCGATGTTGTATTGACTGAAATGTAAATCAAGTCCTTATTATAATACATTTGGATATTTTGCAAAAATAGTTATCCTTATCTTTATTTTTTATTATATTACTTGATCCTTTAACACCATGTATTTTTTTATCTTAAGATTTTATTTTTTGAGAAATAAAAGTAGATTTGACTTAAGACAGACAAAAAGAAACGTACGATAAAAATCAGCACAGGATAATCTATTAATTCTAGAAAACCGATAATAGATAACAAAAAACACAAGCGCAGTCAAGGTAGACAATAATAAAGAGGAACCCGAATAAAATCATGTTTGCTTTTACTGAAAACAACTATATACTACTTTGTTCAATCATGCCGTCTAATACTCTAATATCAACATCTTTATCAAGAAACGATCTGTTTAAATGCTCACAAACAATTTGTACAGATATTCGACACAGAAAAAGTAAATGAAACATGCGAGTCTTGTTTCGAACTTTAAATTAGGGAATTGATATTTATTCTTCTTAAATACAAGTCTCTATAATTGAGCAATACGCTTAATTGTAACCTTGATCAATAATTCTTTTGAGCAAAAAAGGTGACAAGGATAAATTCATAGTGATAAATGTAATAAAATAATATTAAAACAGCAGTGTGCCTTCCAATAAAATCGCTAAGGAGTTTGTTTTGTAGACCGTCAACTAAATTCGTTGCTCGTGTTTTGTCGGTTTTCTTTCCTTGTTTTGTTACAATACGCCAAACCACTGTCGTGATATTTCTATTGCTTATTTATATACTGATAACTTACCATTACAAAAACCACAAAATGCCCTGCATCTAACACTTGCCCAAGGATGGTAACTACTACTATCTGGGCAAATCTCTTCTTTCATATACGGGCGACAGTTGATTAAATCTCTACAGTCTAAAATACGGGATTAGGGTTTTAAGTAATTGCATAAAAAAATCTAGAAGCTCTATTTCAATAAGACAGCAACCCAACAATTAAAATAATGAAAAGAAACACTTCGAGCAAGGGCACCATACATTATTCAACGAGAGACTGGTACCTATACAATATGTCAATATCAGGATGATCCCGAGCTCGATTCTGTCAAAGTTGCGATTTTAAAAATTAAATAGAAATTTGTAAAAGTTGTGATTACATTAAATCAAAGATCTGCCGTTATCACCAAATTTTCGATAAAAAATACAAAACAAAAACATTAGAATATGAAATAAGACAACCTTAAGTAAGGTTTAGGCACATAGAACTGTTGGAGGGTTTAACTTTGTTTTGTGTTTTTATAGATCTGAACCCTGCCCCTAATTATATTTTCTTACTATGCATGTTTACATGAAATATGGTCTTTTGATTTTTGATCGTTTGCTTTTCTTTGGGTGGTAGATATTTCATACATATTCAAGAGGAGTAAAAATTAACAATTAATCCAATTGGTAGGTACTGCAATGTTAGTGGACGGAGATGAAACCTGGAAATTTGGAATAAAAAAGAGTATGTTGGAAATTTTGCAGGCAGCATTTTTGCATGGAAACATGTCATATGCAGACAACAAGCTATTGCAAAGGTTATTTCACATTCAGATGACACGGAAAGCTCCCCATTTTAGGTATGGGATTAAATGATCCAATTCCGACTAGACGTTTGAACGTATTTACACATTCCGCAGGACAACTGGATGTTTCTCTGAGAGGATTTGACTACAGGACGAGAACAGTCCAGATATTTATATGTATTTGGCCGAAGTGGTCTTCTGAAAGTTATGGTGTTGTTTGGTCTTTTGTTACTTCCTCTAGTGGCAAAAGAAAAGATCGGTTATCGGGTTTATATTATATGTTTTAGCGCCGAAAGTGCATAATCATGTATCTAAAATAACTAACAGCTTAAAAGGGTTTCAGCAAATGATTTTTTTAACTATACCAGTATAGACGAAATGTATATTTCTCTTCAAAGCATTTACAATTCGTGCACTTTCCCTGCATGTTTGCTTATATGGATTTTGCACTTAAGAAATGCGAAGTCTTTTTGGATTAGTATTTAAATATTTGATTGACTATGTTTCTCTCCTTATAGACAATAAATCATTGTTGATAATGAAAGAGTATCATATAGAAACGTGAATTTAGTATATTATACTCAAAGTGGAAGAAAAACAAAATCACACAGTAAGCAAAATACAAAATTTAGACAAAGTTCACAATATGCATGGTGCAATTGGTCTTTCATAAAGATAAAGAGAAGTGATTTGCATATGATTGCCAATGAGACATCTACCAGAACAAACTGTAATTCTAATGTAATTCGTTTGTAAGGGTAATTTTCATTTGACGCGGAGCTAGGTAAACGGATATTTTCGACAGTAAAATCAAGTTTTACGAAGACCAAGCTTACAATACAATACAGTTAACTCCTAAATATCAGTTAGAAAGGTTTTAACTCATCAGGTTTGCGCGATAAAATAACAACGGAAGGTAGCCTTTTAAGATACTCGCAGTTACTAAAAGCTAGTTCAATGACATTTCGAACAAATGAACAAAACGGCACTTTCTGAAAATTAAATATATTAAGAGAGGTATTAATTTCATCAATTTATAGAGTATTTAAGGACTCTACTATTCAAAACTGTATACCTCTATATTTTCATAACACATAACCACTATTACTTCAATACATACAAAAAAAACCAGCAAAGTTTTTTAAATTTTTTATTATACGTCAGTTACATCAGACGTCAATGCAGTAAATACTACTCATTTGAATTGAGACTATGAATCGTCAAATTTTAGATATGTTCCCTATTGCCATGTTATTACGGGGGACATCAATAATGTTCAAGACCAAATGGCTAAACACTTTTTGAAAAAAGGACCAAAATATCGTTCTCCATCTAAAATAGATTGGAAACAGTGTCGTCAGATCACAAAAGACGCTCTTTCATCGAATTGTAAAAATTTGTGTAAACAGGGAAATCTGATGAAGAATTTCTTGATTCTTATTTAAATAAATGTATGAATGTTGTGAATATTTGAATATCACATTTTGAAAATAATTCAGAAATAAGTAAAAGAGTACATAATACGCTTATTTTTAGAATTAAAAACAAACTTTAAGTGCTTTCAAAGCGGTTTATGTTTGTACTGGCCAATAGTGTTGTGGTGGTATGCCGTAAATACTGTACAGATGTTCTTAAGAATGAAATTTTAGATTCTTCTACATTCAAGTCCATGCGCTCCACAGAGAGTCATATAAAGTAAACACATATATCATAACCACATCACAGCTAAAGGCCTCCTCTGAACATTTGAAGATCCTTACTATCTATTGGGTACCTAAACAACACAAAAAAACGGTAAAATATCGTTTCATCTTGGCCTCTAGTAAGTGTTCAACAACTAATCTTTCAGTGTTTTTAACTAGTTCCTTAACTATTATAAATGAATTCATCATTAACTAGTGTAAAATAATTTATGAAAATAGTGGGATTAACTATCTTTGTGGTGTAATCAATTTTAGATAAATTACGTGCTTTTGGTAGTCCTTTTGATTCTGTTGACAGTTTTGACTTCACAACTCTTTACACTACACTTCCATGTCCACTCTGTGTTTTTTGTAGATGTATTCCGATTTGTATCCATCTGATGAGTTAAGCCTTTTTCAACTGATTTTTTTAGTTCTTATGGTGTACTGTTACATCACTGTCTCACGTAAGGGGAAGGTAGGCGCCTTCAAAAGAGTTTAACCCCACCTCATTCTGTATATGCCTGTCCAAAGTCAGGAGCCTGAATTCGGTGGATGTCGTTTGAAACTGTGTAACATATTTGTTTTTCGTTCATTATTTTGTAAATAAATTCGGCAGTTAGTTTTCTCTTTTGAATTGTTTTACATGTGTCGTTTAGGGGTCTTTTATTATAGCTGACTATGTGTTAATAGTTGTTAATTTTTGTGTCATTTGGTCTCTTGTGGAGAGTTGTCTCATTAGCAATAATACAACATCTTCTTTTTATATTTACCAGACTAAAATATCGTGTGTCTGTAAATATGAAAACAAAGAGACGTGGGGTTTACGTCAATGAGACATCATCCAATGACACCAATGACCAAAAGACACTAGAGAGAAACATACAGAATACACATACAGATACGCCCGAACGTGGCTGCCTATTTATACATTCGTGCAGTGAGTACAGCGTTCTATCTAAATGGGTTTAACAGCAAGACGAGAAAGGTCCAGGTGTACATATTACTAAATGAATTCTTCCAGAACTCCTCTATTCACTACGTTTTCCAATGTGGTTATCGTTGCCCAAATCGATAGATTTCTGTGAAGTGAATTTTGTTGATTATGCATTATAGTTTTATTAATGTTTTTGTGTTTTTGTTTTAGCATTAGCAATTCCTTCTTCTTGTCAGTCCTTTGATTTTTATTACTCTTTGGAACCTTAGTTCTTCGTGTATTATTTTGTTATATTTGTTTGACACCGTAGCTTTCTAGAAAATATTACATAGTATTTTAAACAAAATAGTTCATACGCATACATGTAGCTGTATCTTTGTCAATAGGTAATACATTTGGATAGTTTTGGTTTCAAATGAAAGCTTTGGGACTTGGAATCACTGTAGAACCCTTGTTGACAGTTTCTTTTGAATAATAAAAAAAGTATAGAAAATTATTTCAGGAGGGCACATTTGCCCTGTTGTTTATATCAGAAGTACCTGTTTTTGTACTATCAAACTTCCGGGAACCATTACGCACTAATTTGCAGTTAAGGGTATGATGAATTTTTCAGCAAAAGACAGGATAAGGTATAGTTTTGACATGAAATGACTGCCACTTTATTTGACCTTAAGACAAAACCGCAACTAAGGCTTGAAATTGCTGCAGTTAACATAGAAAGCAACGGGGCTATGAATTAGTGGTTTTATACCTATTGCTGTAAAGCATGTGAAATTCATATTTTAGAAATCATACCCATAACAATGAAAATTGGTCACGTTAACTGTTAGTAATCATGTTACGTTAATTTTTTATGTAACAATTATGTTGGTGTTAAATAAGTATTATATCGCTGTTTAATAGTCATAAATCGATTAATCGAAAACAAATCCGGGTTACAAACTAAAATCGAGGGAAACACATCAACTACTAGTATAAGAGGAAATCAACGGAACAACAGAAACATTGAACTGCAACACAAACACCAACATACATAGAAAAGACTATTTGATAACAACTGCTTTACAGGTTACAGCAAATTGCTACGACAAGGTATTTCAGCCTTGTGTGTTCATTTAGCATGCAAACAGGTAAGACCTTACCTGAAGTTTGAATATTTGCATTATCTGAGACTGAAACCAATGAAACATGAACACAAATGTATATTTTGACCGGTTTATTGTATAAATATAGTTTTTGGCCAAATTATCTAGTGCGTGTTCATGTTTAAATGGGTTTATTGGTGTATCATTTATTTCAAAGGAAATTGGTGTATATTTATATATGAATTCCAAAATTTCACTTGAAATGCAATTTATAATCAGTTTAGAAAGTTGTCTAGCTGGGAAATACATCAATTGCTCTTGTTGGTCCTTGTTTTTACATAAAAGTATGGTTTTTACCAAATCACTCTCCCTTTTCAACATGAAGAAAACAGGGAGAATAAAATTATTAATTATATTCTATGTTCGGACCACTGTATTTTTATCTTCAAGGAACAATTTCTGATAAAAATAAGACATATAGTTAAGAACGTTATTTTTTAGTAGAATTTACAAATAAGAACTGATAAAAATTGAAGAGTCTCATATCTGTCACTAGTAGTATTTTCAACAAGTTTGGTGCTGTTATAGGTATAGAACCACTAATTCGGGCCCGGTCGGAAAGAACATACAAGAAAGTTGTACTT